TCGCCATTTTCCCCCACTTTGAAACCCCCCCCTCCCCCCGATAGGTCTCTGGATCCGCCACTGGATATGTAGTCTCAATTACTGTTCCATCCTGGAACACCAAATTTAATTTCAAATTTTGTAACTGTCACCGAGGTTTGACAGGTAATGATGTCTACAACTAGTTATAAATCGGCACGCGTTGTGAAAAGTAATACGTTGCTGAAAAAGGGCGTTGCACTTGGGTTGGTTGTCTGGAAAATATTGTTAATTTTGTCATAAATTTATTTTCCATTGCTTCTTTTATGAGTGGTGATGCATAAATAATGTAAAGACTATATCCAGACTTTCAAAAATGTCAATTATTTCGTTCATATTCTCAACAAATGGAAATCAAAAGCTGATGAAATTTTAATTGATATCTTTTTTGAAGATATCTCCCGGTAGAAATATCAGCAGAAACGGGTTGATGACAAAAAAGATCTTCAGAAAATATCCGCATTTTTACTTTTTGTGCCTGTGGAAAAAACTGAAAGAAAAAAAGTCTTGAAGCACCGGCAAAGAGATAAATGTAACGAATAGAATTGCCCGAGAATTGCCCGAGAGCTACACTCTTATAAAGACAGTAAAACGATATTCTAGTTTGTCATTACACTAACATTTATACTATTTATTGCTGACTCTACCAGGTTCTGAATAATCATTCAATCTCTTGGTAGATGGAACTCACTTCAGCATTTTGACTGACGTAACGATAGATTGTACTACCTTTAAACCATAATAGCCATCATCAACGTTTACATACCTCATCCTGAAAAACGGGGAAAACCCATGTCTGTTTTTGAGAACTTCGATTATCCAGCAGACTTAGAAGCAATATGTTTACTGCGACCTTTTATAGCTGTAGTACTAGTATCACGTGAGCTGTATGTCCAATTATTTTATCTGGAAATACCAGCGATTAATTATAATGTTTCGTGTTTTTTTTATATTGACTAATGTTAGCGCGCAAACGAACGACCTAATTCAAATAATTAGATTATCTACGTCACATTATTTTATTCTGCCAGTTTTTATATGATTTGATTTGAATAAAAATCTAACGAATTTCAAAATTCGGGCTGAATATATCTGTAATAAAATGATATAACTGTTATCTAGGTAATTTCTTTCTTCCTTTTCTTATATGAAATGCATCAAATGATGAATACTGCAAACGATGTGCACCAAGGGTAAAGCAAAATCTTGTTGAATAAGTTTATATACAGAGTTTATAGATCTTGAACTTCAGGTTAAAGTTGAAAGTTTGATTAACCGTTGTACTTATCACTTGTAACAATTAATAACTGAGATAGCTTTAAGTGCATATAACATTTTTTGTTGTTCACTACAACATCATTGGCAACGTGGTCTGTCTGTCCTTGCCAATAGAAAATCAAGGCCGTGAGACCTAGATATTTCATATACATACGTTTCTACAGGATTGGCCTCTTTTTGATAGATTATTATATAACTCATTATATATTACATAATTTTTCAGCGGAAAAACAAGTCTTTTACAATGTATACGCTACATGTATAGTACGATGGTGTCATTTTATCCACTTTATACCCGTGAACAGCCTGCGAGATGGATGAGCCAATCTTATATAACATGTTTGTTAACTCTGCCATACTGCTTTATTATTCATTTGAAAAAGATGTATACACAAAATTGTGTTAATTAGACATCGTGTGGTATTCAGGCCTTTCAGTCAATATAACCACATAGATTTAAGGTCTATTTTATGACCATGGTGACCATATGTTTTCTTTACTATATATGTGTTTCTGTGTGCATTTTATGAACGGAGTGTTTGTGTGTTGTGCGTCGTGCTAACGTGTGAATGGGAGTTATCGCCCTTGTTCGTACTGTGACATTGTCAATCACTTTACATTTCAATATTGGTTCTTAATCAATATAATTTATTAATAGGTTTGGAAACTAGTTTTTGAAATAATAACTTTATCAGTGAAAAAAATGCGACTAACATTTAGGAGAAAACTATCTGAATGGAATCAAAAATGCTTTTTAGGATAGCTGCGAAAACGTAGTTTTCTGACGACGAGATTTTATTTTTTTATATAGTGCGGTGGGGGCAGAGGAGACAGGGTATTACTATTAGTACTATCGGAGGCCGGGTATTAATATGAGTACTAGAGTTAGGACTGTATAAATGGAGTAGTCTAGTGCATTAGGTTTATCAATATGATTTAGAACTGATCAGTAGTCTAATTAAAACTCTGGTAGAAGGACGCCTCAGTGTGTTTGCATACACAGTGAGACAGCTTAATACATGTACCTACCAACCATTTAACAGGATTGAAAATTTGCCAATGGAAAACCCTGTTCTCGCGACCTAGTTTCCTGTGGATTTCCACCACCGATTTTAGTTGCAATTTGTAAAGAAGTCGATCGGGACCAAAGTTGGCTGTCTGGACGTTCTAACAAAGAAAAGGTTCTATTACTGAAGCACTGATGTACCGATAAACTGACTCGCTAGGTTTATTCAAGGTAATATTGATTCGGCAGTTAGCAGTCTTTCATGTTAAAAATGTTTTAATAAATGTACAATGTGCAAACGTCTTCATGTAGAAAAAACTGCCGGATTTTTTATTTAATATCTAGCGTCAAGGCTGCTATGTTGTAAACACCAATGCGCAGCTCTGTGTTCTGTGAATGGGACAAATGATCAATGAGGTGTTTTAGTATGTGACGTGTTCACAAAAAGATATACAATACCATATCATATACTATGTAATTGACGTTTTCTTCTGTAAGTTAATGTTAAGTCTCTGGTGCTATTATCCTAAGTAATATGTCGAAATAACAATTTGTAATTACGGATTATATATTTACACTCTAACGGGGTATTGTAAAAATATGTCGTCTTTGTATCATCTGCTGTACTGTGAAATAGATTCAGGACGGGGCCCTATGCAA